TTGAAGGGGCCCTGGAAAATTAGTTTACTAACGTGAAACATGGTGTTAGGTCACTGATTTCTTTACCATGGCATTTTCCAGCGGCTCTGACTTTTTATTTCATAATATCTGGTACTGTCACTTTTCTAGGTTTAGTTAAGCTTTTGCGCTATCTCCTTTGAATACTTTGGTGATAACAGTTTGAAAATCTAAATTGCCATATAATCTGGAATTTGTGAATGCGTTATAAATCATTATATCATTAAACAATTGTCTTGGAAATCCTTTAAATCATTAAAGTCCCCCTCTCCATGATAGCAGAAACACGCTAACAAATAGAGCTCTCTATAAATAACACAACAGGGAAGAAAGCTCCCGCTGAGCCGCCCATTTCCCCTCCTCAGATAGAGACTATTTGTTACCTTGTTGGCACCGGCAGGTCTGGAACTCCTGCTGCTAAAGACTAATGTATTTTACATTAACACTCAAAGGATCCCCGATTTCTTCTGCTCAAGGGTGGATTGTTTTAAAAATTCTTTTATCTTTACATGTAAATTATTTATGGACCTTTTTTCCATTTATAGTTACGGGTTGGTGTGGTTGGTGAATCAGTACCATTGAAAACCAACCAACCAAAAAAACTAGTTAGCTTTTTGGTTTTGGTAATTTAAAAAGAAAAGAGGAAAAAAACAACTTTCAGAACCGTAAGCTGTTGGAGGGTTTTGGGTTTTTAAAAACTTTTGCATTTCTTCTTTGTTTAACAAGAAGGCTGAGAAACTATTGATTGTTATTTCACCTCCTTCCTACTATCTGATGATACATGATCCTGATTGTATTTGAATTTTTACAATTTTACATGCTTTGTTTCATTTCTCAACAAGTGCTAATGAGAATGAGGGGGAAACATTGTGACCTGTGATTCTGGCTTGGTTTTTCAAATGTGAAATGGTTCTCGTTTTGTGGCAGCAGTTAAAAATACAAACGCATTTAATAGTTCCGTTGGTTTTCAAAACGTTTCATTATGAATATTTTGTTGATATTTGTAAATAACAAACAGGCAATTTTCCTAAAGAGAACATATCTGAAAAATCAAAGTGATTTAGGTACATTTCTATCCACCAATTCTCATTTGTATGAGATTTGTGGAAAGTTCTTCACTTCTGTGTTTGATCATGCTGGCTTTTTTTTTTTCTTTTTATTAATGGTTAAGTCAAAAACTTGGCTTCAAAATAGTTTTTTACAACCTTATCTTTTTTTCTGCAGTAACCAACCCTTGATGTTTTGCCTTAGAATTTCTCCTATCATGTAGATTCTTGATCGTTCCAGGAGATGGCAGCATGACATCTGAAGTTTTTCCTTCCCTGTGCATCCCCTAAAAGGCTGGGCAGCTCTTAATTGCTGTCGCCTTTGCTTACCTCTATTTTTACTCATTTTTATTACAAAAATAATATGTGGCTATTGAAAAAAAAAAGAGAGAACTGTACAAAATGTAAAAGTAGAAGAAATGGGTCAAATATCTTCCTTTTCTCCACCCCAGGAAAACATTCAACCAAACCTTCCTCTCCCCAGCTTACCGTGTAAACTCTGTTAACTGGCGTATACAGTCTTGTTGTTTTCTAACAAGATCACTGTATGTGCCATTCTGCAACTTGATTTTTTAAATTTATTTTTATTTTTTTATTATTCAACAAAATATGCCATGAGTATCCTTCAGTCTTATTTTGGAAAGCCCTGTACTCCTTTGGTGTTTTCAATCCCTGCATAGAATTACGCACTTTTGGTATCTGTAGTGAGAGTAGCCATCTCCTTAATAATGGATTTGAGTTGTCTCTAGCTTTTGCTGTGGAAAATTACAGCAATGGGCTTGTTGAAAATGTCTGTAAGATAAATTCCTTGAAATTAAAAGAAAATGGTTAAATTGTCTTCTGTATCTTTTAACTGGCAGATTCCCCTTACAAACGGTTTTGCATCCTTGCCTTCTTTCTGCTGCTCATTCTGTCCTGCCACTTAATGCCACTTTGTTTCCACCCCCACTTCCACGTAAGCCACAGACCTAAGGAGGAGTCTTAGACCTGGCCTAACAAGGAGAAAAGGATTAATAATGTCTGGCTCATGCTTTAGATTGAAAGAGCTATTTTTTTTTTTTGTCCAGTTTATTGAGGTATAATCAGCCTACAGTAAAATTCACTGTTTTTTAAGTGCACAGTTTGAATTTTGGCAAATGTATACAGTCATGTTACCAGTGCCACAATTAAGTAAGAACATTTCCATCCCCCCAGAAGAACTTTCCTTCTGCCACTTTGCAGTCACTTCCCTCTCCCAACCCCTGCCTTTCACAACTGCTGATCTGATTCGTATTATATCATTACAGTTTTACCTTTTTCAGAATGTATAAATGAAATCATATAATATATGTCCTTTCGTGTCTGGCTTTTTTAACCTAGCATAATGCTTTTGAGATTCCTCTATTTTGCATGTTTTAAGTAGTTGATACCTGTTTATTGCTCAGTAGTATTCCATTTTATACATGTGCCAGTTTGTTTATCCATTCACCATTTGATGGATATTTGGATTGTTTCTGGGTTTTGGCTATTACAAATAAAGCTGCTATAAACATTCACATGTGGATCTTTTTTATAGACACAAATTTTCATTTATCTTGGATAAGTACCTAGAGGTGGGGTTCTGGGATGTATGGTTGGAATATGTTTTTACCTTTTTAAGAAACTGCCAAATTTTTCCATAGTGGCTGCATGATTTTGCATTCCCACCAGCAACACATTAAGTTTTATTTGTTCCACATCTTTACCAGCATCTGATATCAGTCTTTTTCAAAGAGCCATTCTAGTAGGTATGCAGTGATGTTTCACTGCACTTTTTTATTTATATTTCCCTAATGACTAATGACGTTGAGCATGTTTTTCTATGCTTATTTGCCATCCTTATTTTTTCCTTGTTGAGGTATTTATTCAAATCTCTTGCCCATTTTTGTTGTTGTTATTATTGTCTTACTATTATTGAGTTGAAAGAATCTGTGTATATTTGGGTAAAAGTCCTTTATTGGATATGTTTCTTGCAAATATTTTTTCCCAGTCCGTGGCTTGTCTTTTTATTTTCTTAGCAGTGTCTTGAAAAACAGATTTTCATTTTGATGAAGTCTAATTTACCAGTTTTTTCTTTAATGGTTTATACTTTTTGTGTCCTAGCTAAGAAACTTTTGCCTAACTCCAGGGCACAAAGATTTTCTTCTGTGTTTTGTTCTAGAAGTTTTATTGCCTTAGTTCTCACTGAAGTCTCAGACCCCCTTTAATTTACTTGTGTGTAAGATGAGGGTGGGTTTTTTGTTTTTTATTTTTAATGGAAATCATCCAACACCATTTGTTGAAAAGGTGATCCATTTCTCATTGAATTACGTCAGCACCTTAATTGAAATTATTTGACCTTGTGTGTGTAGGTCTATTTCTGGATGTTATTCCATTGATCTTATATGTCTCTTCTTACACCGATATCATGCCAATTTGATTACTATAAGAAAGTTTTTTTTTTTCCTTTACTGTGAATCTTTATCATAGTTTATGTTTAAAGTTCTTTTGGGGGTTAGGGGGAGACGAGGCCAGTAGAAGCAAAAGGTTCTACCAATCACACCTATCTGGGGCCTTCAGTTATACCCAGACCTCTACTACCATTTGGATACAAGAAGCCAAGTCAGTAATGATAGAAGCTATGAGAGGTGTGACAAAGCAACCAACATCCCTGAGGTACCTATACATTCAGCCCATTCTTCTATAAACTAATTTATAGAATTTAAATTATTTTCATGATGTAAAATTGTGACCCTGAGTCATTGAAAGATTCAGTCATCAAGAAATAATTCTTTTTGGACATTGTACTCTATATAGCAGTAAGAAAATAAGGTGAATTAAAATAAGGTTAAAAACTAAAATTGGCTGAAAATGACCTAAAAGCCTCATTCATTTATTTCCATAAATTGAGATTTTTATTATATAGTTTGGTTTAGCATAAGAATTGTCACTCTCCTTACTCAGAAAGTAACCTTAGCCTTGGAGAGTTATTTCTTAACATGGAAAAGTTTCCCTGCATCTGGTCACTCCAGGTGGGCAGATGATGGATTCTTTA